GCATCCATCTCTATCGTTTTGTATTATAGTCTTGTTGGAACGCAACCTATATGAAATGTCGCATTTGCATGTTCTGTGCCAGCGTTCTCTGTGGCTGGGGAGGGAAGGGGCTGCACTGGCATATCCATAACACTCTAGCATATTTCATAAGCGCACTTATCATATTTGGTGTCACTAGATTTAGTGATTGACTGTTTGGTACTACTTAATTGTATCCAATCCCTCGACAATTTGCAGCCAGTGATCACGAGTTCATACTCCCTAGACAATACATTATACCTTCGTTTGAAAGAATTCTCCCTTTTAATGATAGCTTCTGGGGATACATTGATGTTATATATCCTAGAGATTTGGTAGCCTGGACGAAAATTACGAATTGTGGATTAGGACGGATATGTTTTGTCACAGGCCTACAGACAAAACGAAATGTTAAGGAAAATGATATATTTTCCATTTCAGCGTTTTTACACCATTATTGAAAGATTTACTACGTGCTGTTCATAGAATCGTACTTGATGGTTGAGTGACCTTTGATAATTGTATCGTTAAAAAACGTTGTGACCATTGTGTCTACCGTTTTTAGTTATTATGATAGGCGTGTGTGTGTGTGTGTGGAGGGTGGTGGTGGTGGTGGGTATTGTAAGGACGATGTACACTTCCCCCTCCGTATCCCCTCCTTTAGGTAGCCTAGTGTTAGAAGTGTTCGCTGATCACACCAAATTACCGGTTCGTAATGAGTATATTGTGTGAAGCCAATTTCAGTCGTGACATAAATGGAATATTAACGACAATAACTCACTCACGCACTCACTCGTGCATTCACTCAAACTGTAGTCAGACAACGTATGAGCAGTACGTTGTTTTATTATATTGATGAGCTATGCATTGTCCTGGACGTATGTGTCCTGTTTGACTTATCAGTATTTACAGGAGTGAGTGACGCCGCTTTTAGCATTATGCCAGCAACATCACGGCGGGGACACAACAAATGGGCTTCACAAATTTCACCCATGTGGGCAATGGAACTTAGGTTTAACCACTAGGCTACCCCACCTTTCCAGTATTTACAGGACGAGCTGTTGGAGAAAACACTTTAAATACTTTTTCTTAATCCAGGCTTGTAATGAATTCCCTCGAGAACAAATCCAAGTTGCTTTATTTATTCTCTGTACTGCGCTTCATCACTGTAACGAGTTTTCTGATGTTTTGATATGTCCAACTGATTGATGATTCCATGTCATTGCAGTGCGCTTTTATTAATGCCACAAGTTTATTCTGGGCAGAGAGAGTCCCCTGTGGAGCGAACACTGGGGACAGCTAGGATTAGCACGAATGCATACGTTGTCCATGTGCACGCATAAAACCTGTTTTCTATTGGACTGCTGCTTTACACCAAATCCAGAAGAGAACATACTTACAGTGACATGGCCATCCACCCCTCGGAACCGGCCTGCGACCCACGGTCTGTTGTCCGTTCCCAGTGTAGATTGAGATGATATAATTGATGGCTGGTAAAAATATGTCGCTCTGTAATTTGGGTGATCGTCAGCAGATAAATTGTTACACTTCCTAAAAGATTGAAGTATCTGGCGAAAGTTGGTGTTTCGGCGAGTTGAACCAACCTGTCTGGACATCCAATTTGCCGGGGTGCAGTATCCGTTGAAAGGATGGGGAAAGACGTGTGTTGGAAGCGTTGACTGTATGTCATCCGAAAATGTATGTATGTATGTATGTATGTATGTATGTATGTATGTATGTATGTATGTATGTATGTATGTATGTATGTATGTGTGTGCGTGCGTTTGTGCGTGCGTCTGCATATATATATTGTGTGTGCGCGCGCGCTTGTGTCTATGTCTGTGCGCGTGCGCGTGTGTGTGCGTTCGTGCCTGTGTGTCGTAGGTCGAAATTTTACAGGGTTTACTTGCTCCAAGTCTTTGGTCCAAACCTCCTTTACATAATAATAACACTTCTGACGAAATCCTCCAATTACGATTAACTCAGTTGAACGGTGGTCATAGACTCATAGGTAAGACTATCCTGCAGTAAGATAAAGTAAAAGCACCACTGCATGGGGCGGTGGGGTAGCCTAGTCGTCAAAGCGTTCGCTCGTCAGACCCGGGTTTAATTCCCCACATGGGCACAATGTGTGAAGCCTATTTCTGGTGTCCACCGCCGTTATATTGCTGAAATAATGCTCAAAGCGGCGTAAAACTATACTCACTCACTCACTCACTCACAACGGCAACAATTACGTAACGGGACGCAGCTGTTCCACTACCAACCTATCGCTTCTTTCAACTGTATCAGTTCTTTCATCTGCTCACAAGTTCATTCTGTGCATCTCTCATCAGTGACAATTGCAACTTCATCAACGACAATTACAGCCTTAGAGACTGACGACATTAGCTTTAGTCACTGAGTAATATCCCGAGAGGTTCCCCAGCTCTGATTATTTAAATCAGTTACGGCCTCCCGTGTGTGCACACGTCACCTAACGTCATGTCACGTGACGTTGGCGGAAGTGTATTTAACCATGGCCTTGACCTTTAATTTGTATGAGGTTGCTGGGTAATTCAATTCATTTGACACGGGCGTCACATAAACTGTGTATGGGGAACTTGAGTTAGCAACTGATGATATTGGTCCCCGGTGCTGACTTTGACTGGAGTTGGGCTCTTGTTACACTACATTTTTAGTTTGCTGCAATTGTTATCCTTAAGGGACAGGGTCGAGTTCTTTGAAAATCGTTTACTTTTAACTTGATATGAAAACATCGTTGTCAACGTTTTTGGTGAATATTATTAAAATCTTTTCAAATTTCATTTCTCAATTTCAGTGTATATATTTGTCCATTTCATCTATTTTGATTTTCTCGAATTATGAAATTATAGGTCTTTCATTTATGTATCTGAAATGGTACTACTGCATAAATTCGTCTAGTTTCCTTTCGTGTGAATGAACTGCTCCTGAAATTCCTTGCCAAGTCTCTCTGCCTTGTGATTAAAGTGTTCGCTCATCACGCTGAATACCCGGGTTCGATTCCCCACATGAGTACAATGTATGAAGATCATTTCTGTTTTCCCGCCGTGACATTGCTGGAATATTGTTAAAAGCGGCGTAAAATTAAAGTCACTCTCTCACTCTCTGCGTTCGCTATTTGTGCACGGGAACATGTAAATCGTTGCTGATACAATATCTCCTCGTAGGGTATTTAGTCTTTTTTGTATGTTAGTGTGGACCCATTACGGTATCTTTGATTACAATATCAACGTTGGGTTAATGTTGACATCATGTCTTTAATATTACGCAACAAGGGCTATAATAAGAGATTGGGCAAAAACGGGGCATATTTTCGGGGGAAACCCTACACGCCCATTACCCGTCTTCGAACACCATCATATAACGTCGACTGTTCATTCCGTTTTGTAAGACTAATAGCGGTGGAAAATCAAATTTACTCACTCACCCTGTGTGATTTATATGCCTGTGGACGCTGCAGGTGTCCACCCAGGCCATGCTGGACCGCGAATGGTTGCAAATCAAAACGAATCAGAGCAAGAATCAAAATAAATACTGCTTTCCCCCGATCATTTCAGCTGTATTGCCTTCTGGGCATCAGCAGAATATTGTCAATTACATAACCACAGGGCTATTTTTATTTCAGAGGAACTACTATTTCCAGATATGTGCAATTATGGCAACTATACTCTTCTTTAAAAACCCGATTATCCTACATTATGAGTGTGCGCGGATCAATTGTGCTTCTTGCAGATGAACGCCTTATGTTAATGCACCTTAAAGGACAAAGACGGAATATTGAGAATTACAATCATACCGGAATCCCATTTACAATCATGAAAATTTATGACAATTTTCTGCCCGATTTTAAGTGCGTTTCTGAAATCGTCCACGAAGTGTTCCCTTTGATATGGGTCTTCATACGTCGAGTGTTTACCGTGATCGTTGTACGTAATGGCTACAATCAATAGCGTGCTGCAGTCGTGGCCATAAGCCCAACTGAAATGGATCGCTTCCGCAAATCAAATTAATGTTTACAAGAATGTTAATATGATTTAGCAGTAGTGAAATTACTTCCCGTGGCTGTATTGCACCCCTTTGTCATTCATTTAGTTGAAGGCTCCAGCGATCGAACGCTCGCCAGGAAGAGTTGGAATCAATTGATGATATTTAACTAAAAAAATAATGGTTTTTTTCCAAGTGTTTTATCTGCCTTATAACACAACCATTTTGAATGCAATATTTCGCCATGCAACCCTGGTAATTGCGACTTCAAAGTCAACAGACCAAAGAGCTCAAAGAAGACCAAACCTTACTTTTCCCTTGTTCTATCAAAGATTCGCTGCGTTATTTGGAAGCAATACTCTTGAGTAGCAGATGTTATGGCGGATTTGACACGGGTTTACTTAACGGGGGCGTGGGTCTTTTAGCATGAGTGAGTCACACGCTTTGAACAGTTGTTCAGTTTTATAGCATCGTGAAAATAGAAAAAGTCAACGTTAAAATAGGAAAAGTCCAAGCCAGAGAATAACCAGTCTCCATTATTGGCATGAGTATATATGCCAGACTTTGGGTTTGCCTGTATGGCACCTGCAAGCTTTGAATCAAAGCACCATCTGCAAGTGTTAATTTGATAATTAAGGATGAAAAGGGTCAATGAGTGAAAAGAATGTCATATTGTATTTTTCTGCTGTCTTTATCTTGATGAAAACAAAGAGTGAGTGAGTTTAGTTTTACGCCACACTCAGCAATATTCAGCTATATGGCGGCGGTCTGTACACAACAGAGTCTGGGCCAGACAATCCAGTGATCAACAGCATGAGCATCGATCTACGCAGTGGGGATACGATGAATTCCTTAAAGGTTATCGTCATCTTGATGCTGGAACAAACCGTACTTCAGTCATATGTTATTGTGCCATCATGATTCATGAATGAGAATTATTGACAAATTTCTGATTGAATGATTTTCTATTGCAGACTATGGCGGACATCGAGTTGACGGGCATTCGGACACGTGACCCAGACCGACCCACTTTCGACTCGTCACAGGAAGGTCTCCTGTCAGCGGAAACCAACGAGGCCGGTCTAGCCAATGGCAATGGGCACATCCAGCCTGAAAGCGAGGCTTTCCTGGGAGTCGGAGGCTTGGATAAGCCAACATCGGTCTCCGTGTTCAAGAGACCAAGACGAAAATGGTGGATTTTAGTGATTATAATATTCCTTGTGGCGATCTTAATACTTGCAGTATTCGTGGGAGTGTTCTTCAGTGTTTCCAAAGGTAACGCAATGAGACCTGCTACGTGGCTCAACTCAACAACAATCAACACCTCTATGGTGGTCCCTCCTCCATCGCCGCCGTCTCCGACGCCCAAACCACCACCGGAACTTTACATCCAGAAATTCCAGTCTTTCAGGGATTCTAGCAGCAGCAAGCTTTTTGAAGTGACATTCAGTAACGGAACCACTCTCCGGACGTTTGGCCATAAGGGCATGGATGGGAGTTTCCATTCCTTGTTCTCTATAAGTGTTGGTGATGCCAAGGGGTCGGACCTGACCCACATCCAGTTTAAAGGTGATAACAATTTCGCATCCGTTATGTTACCCGACGGTACCATTGTTAGTTACGACTGGACACACGGATTTAAAAGTCTGGAGTGTAAAGTATTTTCAGTGACCAAACCGGATGCCGATATGTCGGTTCCCTTGTCCCACATTGTGACATTGCCTCTCGGGACGTATGCGGAAGTGTTTCTTCGTATCTCCAAAGGGCTCATCAAACCTCACGTTCAGTCACGGACTAATGTCACACGCGAGGAGTGCAACTCCCGTCTCCCCCTCCGTGTGACCAAATGTGGGGGTCAGTACACATACCACGGATCGTTCATTCAGGGGTCGCTCACCACAGACGGTGGCGCACCTGTCATGATGGACGCTCTGCCCTGGCCGACCACCCAGGACAATTGTCACGAGAATCAGAAGGAGATGCCTAACTACTTTCTACCGCTTCCTCTAGGTACCAATGTGTCAGTAGAAAAAATGAAGGAATCCTTTTGCTCAAGTGGGACAAATGTGTTTATAAACTTGTGTTTATCGATCGAGGGATCGGACACGACTTTAGACCACGATATCTGCACCGAGGTCGCACGTACGGTGAAAAATGAGAGAGATGTGCTTTATAACCATATATACGGCAGCTGTTTTAAAATATTTCATTCCATTCGTCTAACGTGTGTAGCACTCAAGGTGTCCAGTTCCAAAGGTGTGAGTACCAACGACTTCCGTCTATCAAAACTTGAAATTTACCAGAGCCTGTGTATGAATACAAGCAGCACCCTCGACGTCTTACGGGGCTCGCGTCTAGTTGTAGGTGTCACAGCATATTGTCCCTCGGTCCTGCCACTCTCTTCCTATCAGCAGCATATATATTTGAACCAATCAAATCCAGGCACTCTTCAAAATATGATTCGCATTAACTGTCCTAGCTCACCGGAAGTGACGCGATTCGTACTAGGGCATAAATATATTGGCCCAGCTCCATCCGGAGTTAGTCGGGACGGGATAGTGGATCACATCTTGCGCGTCTGTGCAACGTGCGCCTTCGGTACTAAGATGGAGGTGGAGGTGACACGTGACGACACCTGTTGCTATAACAACTGTACCCGGGCAAAACTGTGTGAAATTGGCCCGAACACTCGTCGGAAGGAGAAGAGCGAGTTTGGAAAGCACAGTGATGTGTACTGTCACCAATTCCTGGCAGGGTTCAACAACACAATGCCATCAGTAGATAAAAAGTGTGTGAGTGGTTGTAAGATGGAATTCAGTGTGGACTTCAAACTTTACAACACTGAAACCCAACAAGTATTTTATCACCAGACACTCATGTGCGACCAAGACGATAGTTTCTCGTGTAAAAGGACGTTTGGGAGGTAGTAATCTCCCCTTTGTGTAACATGTCATCAAAATGTGTGGTCTTTGGTCGTCATCACCCTTTGTGTAATACGTCATCAAAATGTGTGTTCTTTCCAGTCGGCATAGTATAATGTGTAACAAATCACACGGTCGTACGACGGCTCATAATTAGACATTTCATAACCATCGTTCATATCTGACCACCTTACACAACAGGGATAGCATTGTGACCCTGCGTCAGTTTCAAGAATTCCAGAGTGTGATGAGAAGACAGCATTACATAAGCCACCAGCATAAACATTCCAATCAACGCTTGCCGGGAGAATGCCCTGTGTACATTGAAATCTTTCTTCGAGACGTGTATCACGTCTTCTCAGCTATAGTTTATTCTATTCAAGTCTTTCTACTCAATTAACTCTTCTATTCGCACACATGTTGTCTTAAGTTTGCACGATAACATTCTTAATTCTGAGGCTTGGAGATAGATACAGTCACGGAATGCCTAACATTGGATGTGTGCCCGGAGCGCGTTCCCATGTCGCGTGTTCCTGGATCTGTACATGTTGTGAACCAGTGATTAGTATTATTTCTTTCTGTGATGGCTTCTGTTCGTGAAGGGACAGCTGCACTGTTTCCTCCAACATTCCACGTCTGATGTCTGTGATATGGCGTCTGAATGTTCCACAGTTCGGCTGGGATCTTGTGCCGGAGTTCGGCTGAGATTTTGTACGACAGTTCGGTGTCGTCGGACGGATCAAATTTTTGTCTTACAAATCCTTCTTTGCCAAAAGATCACATGGCAAGGCCAGTTATGTGTCGTCAAGCACATTACATATATACACGTAGAACTTTGTGTTCCTATCTCAGACAGCTTTGTACATGTGTTTCACGAATGTTTAATGCTTATAACATTTGCCGTAAGGTAGAATGGTGATGCAGTTGACTCATTAGTTATATTACGATATGATAATTCAAAAAACTTAAGTAAAATTAGGGACCGACCATTCAGTGTTGGAGGGGTGAAGAGATGGGACTTGTTTTCCCAAAAATCAATTGACCCAGAATGTTTGAAAAAAATGTGTGCATAAAACTGTGCGTACAAAATATATATTTTTTGCAAAAATGTAGGGTCATAGTTGTTCTTTTAATCCTGTTTTTCACCTGTAGATAAAACTACGCAGTATCCAAGGAAATTCCAAGGACCCCCCCTCTTCACGAATGTCTATTGGTTGGTCTCGTATCCTTTTAGCTTTAATCAGATAAGCCGTTTTAAAACCCATTTCTCTGATATGACTGCTTGTTATGTCATCAAGGAAATCACATTTGCTCAATGTTAAAAAATAGAATCTTGATAATTTGGGTAAACTGTTTGAATGAAGGCCCATGAGATAACCGTTATATTTGAAGACGATCGTGATATATAGATTAGTGCTCGATATTGGACGTCATTCATGTAGCAAGTAGCATGGAGGCGAACATGCCCGACGATGGGATCTGAATCAATCGCTGTGGGGCTAAGGCAGCCGTACACATAGCACAGAGATCAGGCGAACGGTAGTGTATACAATCTCTGTTGAATACATGTATTTTTACTGGTTATTATTCCTTCATATTCACCGTCACCTAAGGATTTACCATCCCATGTTTACAAGATCGAGTTATTTGTTTGATATTTGCGGAAATTGTTAAATATTTTAAGATCACCTATCAGCAATTTATTTACAATCACTCCCAAATGTTCTGTAGTTATATTTGCACCGGAAAACGTGGGAAAGAATCTGCACAGTTAATGTTAAGATCGAGTTTTTGTCCGTGGCTTCAGAAATAGGTTCAGGATTCATACACGACCGAGTCCGAGGTTAGAGCAACCAGCAAGATATTCGTCACCACTCGCCCCTTTCCGTAATCACTCGCCTTTTTCCGTAACCTGCAACAAGATCCGTTTACTGTTATTTTTGGAAATGGGCATACTCGTACGAGTGTGATTAAAGTTCAAAGAGGAAATCCTTCTTTATAAATCTTGGTAAAGAATAAGACGAGAGTTAGACTTGGTGAATTATACGGAATGTACGCCAACTCTTCTTTGATCGTAAAGAACAACTTTTATGGCAATATACATATAAAATCGACAAGACAATCTCAAGCAGTTCCACAATTAACTTATGTCTTTTGACGGAACCAATGTTCCCGATCGGGACACAAGTACGGCTTTTCCCTGAATTACACGAGTGTTGACGAATGCAATGTGTACTTCCGTATGGTTGCTAAGTATCGTTTGGGGTCAAGTGATTGAGGATATCTTACGGAGACAAACAGCGTTATGTTATGTTAGTGTTATGAAATACATTTAGCGCCATTCGTGGGAACTTGTTTAACCGTTTATAGAAAATGCAATTATAGTGCTATTTATTTCCTTAATTTGTGCAATACGTTCGTTGAAGATACGCTGATTGTTTCTGTTGTTCAACAAACATGCCTGTGTTCACATTATTTATGTTTGTTTATTTGTCCATACTGTTGATGATGTTGTAAAGTTAAGGCGACATAATTTCTATCAATTTCTTGTTGTTCATACACACCATTGCAGAGCCAAGTAAATCTGTCCTCCTTTTCTCTATAATCCCTATATAACATTATAATTTATAACCATCATCTTATGGTTGTGAGCAAGAGAATCGTCTTTAACGTCGCGCCAGATATCAGCTATTTCTCCACGACTTGTACAACTCCATTTTTTAGGGATGCTTTTTTTATCTTTTAATGATACACAAAAATGATTTTCGTAATGTGTCAAGTGTATGTTTCAAAATGACAGGGGCGGTGGGGTAGTCTAGTGGTTAAAGCGTTGGCTCGTCACGCCGAAGACCCGGGTTCGAATCCCCACATGGGTACAATGAGTGAAGCCCATTTCTGGTGTCCCCCGCCATGATATTGCTGGAATATTGCTAAAAGCGGCGTAAAACCAAACTCAGTCAGTCAGTCAAAATGACAGATTTGGTTATCCCTGTAAAAAACGTTCATCGGCATGTTTACACAGATAACAGGGCGTTCGTAGTCCTAGGGATGGCGTAACATAGACTTACGACAGGCATAATGCTACGAGTGAGTTTGGTTTTACGCCGCTTTTGGTAATATTCCAGCAATATCAGGACGGGACACCATTTATGTGAAGAATCGAACCCGGGTCGTGGACGTGACGAGCGAACGATCTAACCACTAAGCTACCCCACCGCCCCCGTAATGCTACGAAAGCTAGACCAGAGAAACTACTGGTTGATATTAAGACCACCGAGACACATTGCGTTCAAGGGTTAGTCGGGCGGTGGCGTAGCCTGGAGGTTTAAGCTGTCGCTCGTTATGCCCATGACACGGGTTCGATTCCCAACATGGGAACAGTGTGTGAAGCCTATTTATGGTGTCCCCCGCCGTGATAGTGCTGGAGTATTGCTGAAAGCAGGATAAAACTAAAGTCACTCACTCAAGGATTAGTCTATCAACCAACTACTATATAACCTTCCTATAGTTTCGTTGACTCCTGCCAACATCATGGGACACAAGCCAGCCATCCAGGATCCTCACGGGGATGTTTAGGCGAGCACAATGCTTCAATTTGATACATCAGATACTTTACCATTAAGTAACAAGCTAAGTCTTATAAACACAATTGAATTGGTGGCCCCTATGGCTATGGTAGCTTCTCTTGTCTCGCGAATCCATTTCTGTTATTACACAAATGTGAGAACACCAATCGATTTAATTTCATGTGTATCCGTGGTGTAGCCTACAGTGTTCATTCACTCGTCGTACTAGGTCCACGTGTAGATATGAGTACAATGTGTTAAGCCCTTCCCAGACATCTCTAGACTTAATGCTGCTGGAACATCACTCAAAGCGGTGTAAAACAATATAGTACTCACTTTCTCATAAATGCGTCCTTTTCCTTTGGCTCTGTATGGAATGTTTATGATCAACAATTACAATAATATTCTTTCGAAATAATGACATGCTTATTTGGATACTCTCATTTGTGAAATAAATCTAGATATACCATACTGTACTATTTGACCGTCTTTACCAGCTACCAGTTACCAATTCTTTTTACCAGAACGTGCCTGGGGCTCCTTTCACGAAGCAACCTTCACTAAGGTTAACCAACCTTAACTCCCATTCTTTAAAGAACCACTAAACTTTGTTTTTTGTTACTCTTTTAACCATTACATATGAAAGATTTGTGGTTAGTCTTATGCGGAACACCAAATTTATTCTTTAAAAACTTGTGGTTAATTAATACCGAGCGTTTAAAAGTGGCCAAAAAAGTCGCCTGCTTCTCTCTCGTCCGCCAACGAAACCACAGACAGGTTACGTAACTCTGTCGCCAGAGCACTGCAGTGACGTCATATGAGGAACGATTTTCAGTTAGTTGTATAGAAAGTGTGTAGCATGCTCATCATTTTGATGATTTCTCGACATCAACGACGACATGTCGAATCGTTGCTTTGTCGTCAATTGCTCCTCGGGGTCGGGCGATGGTGTCACCATGCACAGATTTCCACAGGACCCCGCAGTTCGTGCTAAATGGGTTATGTTTGTGAGTGCGAAGCGAGCGTTGTGGAAGCCTGAAACGATATCTTACTTGTGTTCAGATCGCTTCACGGAAGTTAAAGAATCAAAACTACTTACTAGTAGTAAAATATGTATATGATTGATGACCATAAAGATTTTCCATGACACAACTTGTAACATAACGATTTCTTCCTCGGAAGTGAAGTTGTGGTCGAAGTAACAATAATATTGTAAGTAGTATTATATTGACACCCACCTCGCTGCCAGGAGAGAAATTGTTATACTATACGCTATGTCATGCAAAATCCTATTGGCCATCAATAAAATAAATATTTTACTACCAGTAGAAAGTAGTTTTGATTTTGTAACTCGGTGAAAACAAATCTAAATAGCATTTATCCTCAGACTGGCGGATGTTCCCGACAGGGCGCCGCCATTTTTGAAAATCGTAAAGTCTGTTAGAATTAATGAGATTATAGTTTGTTTTCATCAAGTTAGAAAATCAAAACTACTTTCTACTCGTAGTTAAATATGTATTGGAATCATAACCAAACGGATTTTGCATGACACAACTTATAACATAACGATTTCTTCCACGGAAGCGAGGTGGGGGTCGAAGTTACAATACTGCGCGATAAATTTCTTGCTACATTCACATGGTTAATGTCCACTCACCAGTATGTAGATACTAGTCAATGTGCGTCTTTATATTTGGTCTTATAATCCTAATTAGTTTGTGATCATACTTGTATGCATTTTGAAACTAAATAAAAAGCAGACGATCTGCTGATACTTATAGTGAATTTATAACAGAACTGTAATATCTAGACATTTTATAGTTTGCCAATGTGAATCATAATTCGCACACACACCCTAGTGCATGTTGTCTGTCTCATTACACTTCACGGCGAAAACAATGATTCTGTTGAATGCTACGACAAATGAACAAAAACAAAATGCAAATATTAAAATTAAAACAGATTAAAGTTATAGGAACAATATCAGGCCATTACCATGTTCGAGGAATGTATCCATCAATATCCACAAAACTGTTCCAAATGATGTGTCGTTTAACAGTTTAATATACGAAAAAGTGATCAATCTTTTCAGGTATTGGTGTATAGTCTCATTGGTCACCCAAGATAGCACACCTGGCAACTAATTGCATAATGTCCGCCTTTCTTTAAAAACAGTAATTTAGTTAGCCAATAATGGGCAATCAATCAATGTATTGCCGGTTAATCCTTTGAACGGAGCACGTTGTTTTACGCAGACACCGACACGACAGAGTGTATTCAGTATAGATTAGTAAATCTACATACATAAACACTACCTTTGACAATTCCGCTGTGTAAGATAAAAGTAATTAATCAGTCAGCGTGTTATCGGTTAATCCTTTGATCGATGTTTATAATGTTGAATATTTACTCCAGACACAAGAAATGCCAAATGGGAACCTTTGTCGGGTAATCTAAGTGTGTTACCACTAATTATACCTGTTATAAATTCATTAACTGACCATCAAGTGAATGATGACAAATAACGTGTAGGTTTATACCACCTAACAAGGGTTAGAACAAGGGAATATTAATTGCTGTATTGCATGTGAAAACTTATGGGCCGACACTGTTTTGAGAATACAAACAGATTTTTACATGATATGATTAAATATCGAGGTAAAAAAAAACACAGAAATGGGATCAATTTAGATCAGTCATTATACAAATAGGGCCTAACGACACCAATCGATTTTGACAGAATCGTCTATGAAAACAAGTTGTAACTCGGAAACTAGGCAAAGCAGGAGACAAAATTAAATGCCAGTAGATTGTGAGAACATATAGCTTTCATTTTCCACAACAATTGTCACGATTTCAGGTTTATACAAGCCTGTAAACAAGATAATTTACCCCCTAAAATGTAGATGAATTCTGCATCGGCCCTCAAAGCTATTCCTCATATGACGTCACAGAGACGCGCCGCTCTGATTGGTTGAAATTTCGTTCGCGGGTGAGAATTGTGCACTGTTGTCAAAAAGGTCGATTTAAGTCAATTAAAGGTCGAAATGAGTAGTTTTAATGACGGGGTTTCATTTATAACGATGCCAGTTAGTGATTTATGTATTTGTACCCCTTAGGGTTTATGTGACCTTTAACATTGCACTAAGGTTACCGGGCTGTTCAAACAGCATTACATCGTAAACAGACCTTTAGACACAAACATATCACGAATCATCACCAAAATGAAGTTGATGGCTACGCCTGTGTTTTAAGAAAGATAGGTTTCGGTTTATAACATAGGTATGCGATAACAGGCAGATAATTACATGACACGGACACACTGTTATTGTATGGGGGAGGGGCGGTGGGGTAGCCTAGTGGTTAAAGCGTTCGCCTGTCGCGCTGAATACACGGGTTCGACTCCCCACATGGGTACAATGAGTGAAGCCCATTTCTGGTGTTCCCCGCCGTGATATTGCTGGAATATTGCTAAAAGCGGCGTAAAACATACTCACTAACTCTTCGGGACAGGCCTGTTCCCTGTGGCGGCAACAACCAAACCTGACTGAATATCTATTCCTGTTACATGTATTAAGTTGCAGGGTGGTGTATGTGTGTAAGTATGGGGTCACAAATCTGCCTTTTCCGCGAGGTCTGACGGACGTCATACATTTCCGGTGTGGAAACTTCAACATTCAAGTAATCAGTATCTCTGTAAGCTTCCAGTGGACAACGTTGATCCGCTTACAGTCATGTGTCACAGAAAGAGTCTGAAGAGAGGAACCTTATTAGGTTCAGCTTACTGCCATTTATCTCCCGTTACGATCACTAGCAACAGACAAATTGGTCTTTTCAGTGAATGTTTAGAATCACACTCCATCACCCCTGGAGACACATAACGGTAGGTGCGTAACCGTGCTCGCGCATGCGCATGTTCTACACGTGTATAAGTATTGATGGCTGACGCTCTCGGGATCAAGCAATCGGCGTCCAATCATCAAACTGGATATATCTCAAGTATTAGCTTCTTCTATTCTTGAGGGTGGTTATTGAGAGTTCGAGATAAGATTAGCTGTGTTTATTAGGCGTCAACGTCGGTGCAAGGCCTGAGTTCAATCACGGGCGGATTTGGAGACAGTTGAGAGAGCCGATGAGCTGTTGATGGCCACTTTGGGGAGTCTAGACACTACAAACCTCAGCGGGCCACGTAATCTCCATCCCCATCTCCCCTGTCAGCATTAATCCTCCTTTGTTTCAATATCAGATGCCACTTTGATGACGTCTTCCTTTGGGGCCTCCTGTCGCCGCTCTCTGTGATCAGCGTTTGATGCCCCCCTCGGGTAGGGCTCGAGAGAAGGTTTGTTTGGCCCTAAACAAGGACAATGAAGTCCGCCGTGGTCGGATGTGAAGCAGTGGCTGTCGTGTGTGATGCTGCCGGGAAATGGTCTTTGAAGGGTTTGTGTAACCCTAACAGGTACATGTCTGGGTTTGACGGACTCGTTACAGTCGGTTTGAAGTGACTGCTGATGGTTGGCGATGGTCTAGACGTTAAAATTAGTACCATGTGTGAAACAATGTGATTGTGATTAGAGTACGTATTGACTACCGGGTGTGAGTTAGTGAGTGGGTGAGTTTGGTTTTACGCCGCTTTTTGCAATATTCCAGCAATATCACTGCGGGGGACACCACAAATGGGCTTCACACATTGTGCCCATGTGGGGAATCGAACCCGGGTTTTCGGCGTGACGAGTGAACGCTTTAACCACTAGGCTACCCCACCGCCCCAACTACCGGGTGTACATACATCATTCAATTGTGTTAGGCAATCAGGCGGTTTGGGGACTTGAAGCAAACGTTAAGTGGTCAGAGGCAACATTATCCCTTCTGAAACATTTTTCTACAAATTACTTCAAGAAAGTTTGTTTGCGGTTTGTAAGTAATCGAGTGTGGACCCATTCTCTTCCCACAGAGCTTACTCAAGTCATATCTTCCCATGTAACCTCTGTACAATACGGCCCTTTCATGGTGCGAGTGTTCAGGATTCGTGATTGCTTGCAATCAGATTTAGTTGTGCAATCAGCGACGTTGTTTCACAAGTGATCATTCGCAAAGCCTCGGTAATTTCCGTATGCTTCGGGAAAACTAGAACCTCCTCCCCTGCGCGATGCGCAAACGTTTCTTTTAGACAGAACTCAGACATGTAATGGCAGATCAATGGCGTCTCAATCGCCCTCGTTGACAACGGACACGCTAGCCATTAAATGTCTCGTGTGTCACATCAACATATGACATCGACAGAGGAGGGATATTTGTGGCCCAACTTTCTATCGCTAGTTTCTGGTTTTCAGTTAAACATGGAATACCGAATCTGTCCTATGCATATTGATCAACTAACTCCATGGCGGGCGCCATATAGGATCTAAGTCGATGTAACGCGTATTCTGATTGGATAGAAAGAAGGGAGATAATTCGTGTTGCGAATTTTTTGT